TCAAATGTAGAAAGCAGTCAAAGATTTTGTACAATCATGTGATGTTTGCTCAAGATCAAAAATTCCTCATCATCAACTTTTTGGACTTCTTCAACCATTACCTATTCCAGAACAATCATGGTCTTCTGTTTCTATAGACTTCATCACGGATTTTCCAATCTCAGGTTCTTATGACTCTATATTCGTGATAATAGATCGTTTTACCAAGATGGTACATTTTGTACCATGTACAAAATCTATTCTTAAGTGAAGAAACAGTTAAGCTCTTTCTTGACAATATCTATCGCTACTATAGATTATCCAAGGATATTATATCACATAGGGGAACTCAATTTGTGTCAAGATTTTGGCGGACTCTTTACAAGATTTTAAAAGTGGATATAAAACTATCTTCAGCATTCTATCCTCAAACTGATGGACAAACGGAGCGTGTTAATCAAATTTTGGAGCAATATTTAAGATGTACTATTAACTACCAACAAGATGATTGGATAACTCTTTTGCCATTGGTAGAGTTTGCTTACAATAATACGGTACATTCTTCTATAAAACAAACACCTTTCTTTACTAATTATGGTTATCATCTATGACTTAATACTTTTGAATTTTTAAAAGTTGATAATCCTGCTACGAAAGATTTGGTGATTCATTTGTCAGAGCTACATGCAACGATGAAGGCATAGTTAAAAGAGGCTCAAAAACAACAAAACGTCAATATAGATGTCTATCGAAAAGAACAACCACCATTCTACTTAAGTGATAAGGTATGGTTACTTCGTCACAATATCAAGACTACTCATCCTTGTCACAAATTGGACTATTGAAGGCTGGGACCATTTTTTTATTTTTGCACAAATCAATCCAGTCGCATATCGTTTACATCTATCGGAGTCAATGAAAATCCATCCAGTATTCCACGTATCTCTTCTTGAACCATACAAGACAGTGGACATACCAAGAAGACGACAAGCTCCACCTCCTCCTATAGAAGTGAATAATAATAAAGAGTTTGAAGTAGAAGAAGTCTTAGATTCAAGGTGACGTCGAAATAAATTAGAATATCTTGTCCATTGGCATAGATATGATATTAGTGAATGTACATGGGAGCCAGTAAAGAATCTTACAAATGCAACAAAGGTGGTGGAGGCTTTTCATCGATGACATCCATCAAAATCAAGATAAAAATCTTCTTTATAAAAGAAATAAGATCTAGGCAAGATAACATTCTACTTTCAATCCTTGTTTATAGCTTCTTTGTAGTTGTGACGCTTGGGAGATGGAGAACCAATAACCAGCAGATTCGACTCAAGAGCCTTCATTTTTTGACCTGTCAGACAAGACATTACGATTGTCACAACCTTCAAAAAGACGCAATCGAGATGAAGATCTTTAAGAACGACATGTCCTTCGTTGAATAAATAGCGAGACACAACGCGTTTGGTATCATGACTTTGAAAGGGACTCCCGATGTTTGGTGATTTTATTAGAGGTAGGAACAACTCCTGATGGTGTTCCAAATGTTCTATTCGAAAGAAGTTATGAAGGCCTCAACAATGATCAAATAACTAGGTGGTCTTCCCGCCCTGATATAGGATACTACCAATGATTGAGAGGCCCTATCAATCATCTTCGAAAGAGAAGAAAGATCAGAGTATGTGGCAAATACAATTCGTCGTATCATAGATTTTTTTAACATATGATGACCACTTCTTGTGGAACTCGTCCCTAGAAGAGAGGGTAATGTCACGGACATACTCATGTAAGCCAGTAATTACATATATAAATATATAGAAGTAAGTAAAAGTAGATAAAAGTAAGTTAATTCTATAGTATTTGATATAGTAGCTTCCTAAAAGCTTCATAGATGCTGCTTTGACTTTATAGGTGTCTTTAATTGACTTTTTGGATTAGAAACGTGATCAACAAGTTGGCCATGTGCCACACATGTTGTTAGCTTGAAGACCAAGCTAACAATGTGGCCCACACGTAGAAAAACTTGCCTTGTAAGTCAAGGCATGTGTCCTACAAAGTCAACACTTATTGAAGGTCCTATAGAACATCGCCATGTAGCTCCTAGTTAGATAGTATATAAAGAGATAAGAGTGAAACCTTCTTCACTCTTGTCAACTCTTTTCTTGCTTCCAGTCTAGTTTCAAGGGTCTCTAGTTTTCTTATCTTTTGGCAATAGCCATTCCAGTTTTTCTTTCAATATACATACTTGTTTATTTATATTTTGTTACCTTTCTTTGAGTGAAGACTCACTTATCTCAATTACTTTTTCATGGAGTTCTTATCCTTGACAATATCTCGAAAAGAAGACAAATGCCATTTCTTCCTTTAGAAGAAGATAATAATCAAGAATTCAAGGTGGAAGAAGTCTTAGATTCAAGGTAGTACCAACTTATGATGATGTTTCAAATATTTTATTTGAAAGAAGTTATGAAGGCCTCAACAACAATCAAATAATAAGGTAGTCTTCTTGTCCTTGTATGAAACACTATTAATGGCTAAGAAGACCTATCAATCATCTTCAAAGAGAACAAAGATCAAAATATGTGACAAACATAATTCATCACATCTTAAATTCCTCAATATATGATGACCGCTCCTTATGGAACTTATTCCTAGAAGGAAAAGTAATGTCATAGACATACATATTTACTATGATATTCATCTATATGATTAAATAGAAGTAGGTAAAAATAAATTTATTTTATAATATTTTCTAGAAATGCTTCATAAAAGCTTCCTAGATGCTGCTTTGACTTTATATGTATTTGTAGTTGATTGATAAAATAGAAAATTAGTCAATAAGTTAACCGCATATTAATAGCTTGTAGAACAAGTTAACTATGTAGCGTATATATAAAAAAATTACCTTACAAATTAAGATATGTGTCTTACAAAGTCAACATATTTTGGAGGTCCTATAGGATATTGCTATATAGCTCCTAGCTAAGAATATATATGGAAGCAAGAATGAAGCCTTCTTCACTCTTATCAACACCTTTTTAGTCTTTAGTCTTGTCTCAAGTCTTTCTAATCTTCTTGTTTTTGGCAATAGCTATTCTATTTCAATAGTATATCATCTTCAAGTGAATTTTTAGTCTTTTGAAGTGTTACAAGAGTGTATTAACATTTTAATTCTTCAAGGATCATGTTCTTAATATTTTTATTGACAACATCTATCAAAACAAAAATGAAGAATCAAAATGTGAGTACCACTCTCCTTAGAGCTTGTTCCTAAAAGAGTGGCTAATGTCATAGATATATATAATTACCTACATAAGAAATATTAGGTAGATGATAAATATAAGTAGATTTTATAATATCTTATGAAAGAGCTTTTTAGTAGCTTTATAGACATAAATTTGACTTTATACATATTTGTGGTTGATTGATAGGTTGAAAACTTAGTCAACAAGTTGACCATGTATTGTATATATTGATGATTTTTTATATAAGTTGATTGTATGGCACACATGTGAGAAACTTATCTTGCAAGTTAGATATGCATCTTGCAAATTAGGTGCATGTCAAAAATCTTATAGAACATTTCCACATAGATCTTAATTAGATAGTATACATAGAGGCAAGAGAAAAGCCTTTTTTACTCTTGTTAATGCCTTTCTTGTTTTAGCTTTTTTTAAGAGTCTTAAGCCTTCTTGTCTTTTACAATAGCCATTCTAATCATAATATAATACCATCTTTAAATGATTATCTATTTTTTTCTAGTAACACAAGAGTGCATTGATTCTTTGGTTCTTTATAATTCATGACCTTGATACTATTTTGTAAGTAATAAAAATCCAAAGATTATTTTTATATTTTTTAATTTATTCTAAAAACTATTACAAAGATAATATAAGAAGATAGAAAAGCACTTCAAAATATTAACTTTCAAAACATCAACTAATAATCTAGTTTGTAAATATTAAACTTTTATAAATTAATTTATTGTCACAAAAAAATTCATAATGTATTATAAAGAATTTATTGTAGTAGATGTAATATAGTAAAAATGTAACATAATTATAGTTATAATAAAAATAACATAATTTATTACAATTTCTATAAATTATTTTTTAGATTCTTTAATGTTAGACTTATAAGAAAGAATAATATATAACTTTAATCTCTTATTAAAATATTTTATTTCTTATATACATTATTTAATTTTAAATATAATTTATTATAACTAATATAAATAACTTGAATGAAGACAATACTCTAAGATTATAATACAATCATGTACTACTAATTGAGAGAAAGTAGACAAATAAAAATAATATTGATAAGATTAAAGATGGTTTCAATGTTGCCTCCATGTATACTAGCTATCGAGAAGGTTTTGGTGAAACTTCATAGAGAATGCAAGGCTTATAGTTCAAGTATCAAGTTATAGGTTGTTTCAAATGTAACTTTCTAAAAACAAAAAAACTTGTTGAAGAACCTAATAAATAACTTGAAATAAAAGATTTTTTATAAATCAATAATTATAAAATAATTATAATAAAATATTATTACATCTCTTTATAATTATAAACATAGAATAAAATAATTTTCTTTCAAAATATTCTATTAAAATATTGAGAAATAAAATCATTACTATTTTTAAAACAATAGATAGAACTTATACAAATTTATGAGTTTGATGCAATATCTTTTTAATATTATATATGCAACATGTCAAAAACTTGTTTTTAATGAACCTTTACAATTGAAGCCTATAATCATTTTGACGACCAATCTTACAAAGGCTCATTAAATCCAAAATATCTAGCAACAAAAATGATATTATAAGAATGAGCTTGTCCAGCAAGGTCGCTCACAATTATTAAGGGAAACATCGACGAATGATTCATGTATGACCATCACCAGCTAAGCATTGATCCAAAAGCCTTTGGGGATAAGAAGCGGCATTCATGCTGCACTTCCTGCAGGATGTGCATAGTATTTTTTCCTCGAAGTAATTGACCTCGACAGCCAAGGACCAACTTATCACAGGATGATTCCCGCAATCTGCGTACGGGCTGAAATCACTTGGAAACTCACTCGGGACGTCGAAGTCGACGCACGCGATCTGTGCTTTGTTGGCCGCGCGTCCCGCATGTTTCTGGCGCAAGATTCGACCAAAAATCTGCGTCCGGATAGGCACCGAATCGATAAACAAAAATAAATCGGAGGCACGACGAATCGGCGGGTGTTGACCGCTGTGGGGGAGGGGACTCAGTTTTTTTGTTAGGCAAGCTGAGATTGCGGATGTGGCTCTGGGGATCTCTGATGTCTCTGGGTGTGGTGTGCGTTGAAATAAACGTCACAAGAATCTAGGGCTTTGCGTTCGAAGAAACTGGTGATGGTGCTCATTTGGCGCATCTACAATGGCGCGACGGCGGTCCTCGCGACACGTGAGTGCGGGTGGAGAGTCCACCTGTTGCTTGTGCCTGAAGCTCCAATTCTTCTTTGGTACTACTTCCTGTGCTTCTTTGGAATATCCTAAAACCTGATGTCATCAACCACATGTGTTAGTGTTTTATTCCAGGGTTTATGACTTTTTCGATCGAGCTAGAGGATTAATGAGCACCTCAGGGAGGCTGATGTCGCTGTTTCGATTGCATCCCGGTTTCTTGAACCTCTATTATCCACAAAGTGCAAGGGCTTACTGTTTTCATCGTTTCTTTTGTGATCGAGCCATTAAGAACCGAGGTATTTACTTGGAGTGTCAGGTTTGACATGGTCGCGAGATGTCACAGTTTCAGTTCTTATTGTTGTCTATGGTGTGGGATTTTAGAATCCAGAGCATCATTTTGGTATAATTAAGGAGATGGTTCGCTTAGCTCTACTGGAACCTGGTCTAGACGGGAAAGAGTCGAAGAACATGTTGGATTATTTCACTGCACAAGCTTGATTAGATTCTCTGTTTTTTACTTCTTGATTTCTTGGCAATTCCTGCAACAGAATGCGGAGCCATGAGTGTTTTGTAGCCAGCGGCAGACTGATGTTGTTTGAGGGATGCAAGTAAGACCTATCTGGTCTGGAACCGTTGAGTTGGTTGATTTCTGACGTTGCAAATTTTTTTTGTCAAATATGATTCGGATATGGTTCCTCCTGCTTCAACCTTACAACTCCTTTAGGAACAGCGGAAATTATGATAGCTCTTGAGGGATGAAAATTTGTGATCAGCTTCAGATATGCTGAGACTCCCAGGTGGAAAGTCTACTTCAACATAACTAATATCTGCTCACCGTTAGTGTAAACCGATGTTGAGATTAATTGACGCACCTTCACTAAATTTGGAGTAACCAAATGTTTAGACGCGTTTCTCGGAAGTAAGGATTGGAACTATTCAGTGTTCAGGCAAATGCAGTCTGTTCACCGCACAAACAGTGTGTGACATAGAATTTTCTACAATGTTTCTCGCCCGGCTTGCAAATGTTGCGCACAATACTAGCGAGGGTGAAGTTCGTCGCCTCTTGGAGCAGGTTTCAACAACTGGGGAAGAGCGAGGTTGGAACTCGCATGGAATCCAAGCCCTGTTTCGAATGATAGAGTTTAACGAGAATACTGGAGCTCTGCAGGCTCTTCTGGCGCGCCCAGAGCTTGACGTAAACTACAGGAATAAGGAAAATCTGACACCACTGCACGTCGCTGCTGCCAAAAATCGGGAGTACGCAGTGAAGCTTCTCATGGAAAGAAAAGATTTGGATGTAAACGCAACGGCAGAGTTCGACTTAACTCCATTACACCTCGCTGCAAGATTAGGGCACACACGCGTTCTGAAACAGCTCTTTAACGACGATGACAGATTGTTCCTACACTCAAAGACAACACATGACTTCTGTGCTTTACACTTAGTCGCTGAAGGAGACGAGGAAAATTTAGGGCCCCACCTAAACTCTAAAAGAAGCTCCGTGGAGCAAAGGTCTACAGTGGTGAGGCTGCTCCGCGCTGAGCAGGAGAGGAGAGGGTTGATAGGATTTGAACATTTCAAGGACGTCTTTGGACGAACTGCACTTCATTACGCTGCCATGAACGGGTATGTCGAGATGGTACGGGAGCTGCTGGAATATCCGCATCTGAATCCTAACGCAGTGGATAACTACGGGCTGACTCCCCTGCACCTCGCTGTGAAGAAGGGGCACATTAGCGTTTCGTGTTTGCTTATTCAAGCTCACAATATTGATCTAAATTGCAAAGCGGTGTTTAGGCATGTCCGACCCCAGGTTCCGCCATTGCAGTACTCTAACGGAAGCTACATGATGCATCTCTTCTATCCATCCATGTGCGACGACAATGAAACTTATGAGATAGTCAATGCCGGTGTTACCCCACTCCATATTGCTGCGGGAGGGAGCCATGCCGAGATTTTGAGGTGTCTCTTAGAATCGAAGTGTGTCAATTTGCATGCTGTAGATTTCAGAGGTTTCACTGCGCTCCATTTCGCCGTCATGTACGGAGATATCAAAGTTGTGAAATTGCTAATGGACCAGCCTAATGTTAATCTAAATTGCTGTGACGGTGAGGGGTTGATGCCACTGCTGCTCGCTGTGGAACGTTCTCGTCTTGACGTCGTGAAGTTTCTGCTCGGAGACGTCACTACTACCATGCCCATGCCGGAGGATAAACTGCATATCTCGATCAAACTGCTGGACATAGTGACTCGACACGGGTCTTCTGGAAATGGCGAGATTGCACATTACCTTATAGATTGTATAGAAGACTCTGTAAAGAATTCTGAAGGGAATTTTGATTCTAACTTGGTTCACTGGGCCGTAAAGCATGGAAACGCTAAGCTGATGGTACTGATTTTATTTTGGAGGCCGGAGGATGCGAACATAACAAACAAGAAAAAAGAAACCCCGCTACATTTGGCTATACTTAATGGTCAGACGGATCTCGTTTCAGAGTTGTGCCGCGAACAGGGCTGGCAATTGAGAGCTGCAGAAGTGGATAAGGCGGGTGCCATTCCCTTAGATTATGCATTCGACCATGGAAAGGAAATGCTAGGAATCCAGCGCCTGCTTCTCTATCGACAAGATGTGAAAGAATATGTGGACAGGGTCTTCAGGTATGAAATGAACACCATAAACGCCCTCTTTGTGGGAGCAGCACTCTTTGCAAGTATAACATATGTCGCGTGGTTGCAACCGCCCCTGGGATTCGTGGAGAACTACAACTTCCCGATGAAATCGCCTCCGGCTCCTCCGGACACTTACATGGTATTCGCCGCATCGAATAGAATCAATGTAAAACTCTTCTTCATTTTCAACACAATATCCTTCGTCTTCTCCTTGGTGACCATTTTTCGTGGCGTTGAGGCTCTCTGGAGTGACCGCAAAAAGCTTCATCAAGGGTATGTTGGCCGAAGTCTGAGACAATCATTCCGCCATTGCTACTGGTATTTTGCTATGTCCACATCCTTCATTATTGCAGCATTTGAGCAAGCATCTAAATCAGTCTTGGCTCCCGGTGAAATTTGGTATATCTCTATTCTCATGTACGTTATTTGGGTATCCTGGGGCATTTTATGCCTAGTCATTGCACGAAAGCCTCTTCGGCGCAAATTCAAAAGATGGCGGAGTTCAAAGAGTACATCACCATGTACGTGCTTCACTTCGTTACCGCGCAGGCTAGGACGATATTTAGTAAGGAGCATGCAGATTGTTTGATATACACGCAAATGGTAGCTGCGAGACTTACCATCCACTTTGCAATTGCGATTTCTAAAAGCAAATTTCTGGCTAGAATTGAGGGTTGTAGAATTTTGAATACACGACACGAGCATCACTGGGAAACGAGTGAAGTTGAAACAACCCTTCAAGATCTGTTGTATTAGCTTTCAAGTTCCGCCTAATTCCAGTGTTTTAAAATTGAGTTTATTCCTGCACAGCACTGTCCTACGTTCACGTTGAACCGTCTCATATCGAGTAATTTTTTTTCGAAATTAGCAAACACGTGTCTTGTTCAGGTCGAGAAGCCACTGTTGTAGAGACTTCAGCAGGAGCTCTATCCTCGTCTACAAGCTTGCACAATCTGCTGGCGCAAATCCAATTCTCATGTTGTCCAAGTCGTACACAATGTCGAAATTTTGTTGTTGAATGTTACCGAAAATGGCGATAGGAAAGTCCAATGCACTCGCAAATGCTAAGCATATAATGTTAGTCTCAAGGGAGATGAAGGTGTTGGCCGTTGGCAGCTCCAAGTGCACTCCGTCCAAATGGATTGTCATGGCTGGGAAGACTGGACTACCAGTACCCCGGGTGTTGAAGCACAAGTCTAGTCCAGTGGCGGACGTAGTTGTGGGATATCTTACCTGAGATGTGTAAGCCTGTGCACATTATCGATAACCAAGTTAGACGTGATCTAGGGAAACAGGTTACCTGAGATGTGTAAGCCTGTGCGCATTATCGATAACCAAGTTAGACGTGATCTAGGGAAACAGGAAAACACGAAAGAGCTAGGGGATTTCTAAACTCACCGCAACAAGTGCGTTGAAGACTTCTTGCTGCAAGTAAGTGATGGTCGTTCCAGAGTCGATGATAGTGCCTCCAGAACCTCCCGAGTCAATTTCATAAACAGATTGGTCGATGTCCAAGAGCGACCCTCCCACGCTGATCCCTTGCACGGCTATGTAGTAGTAAGTCGGGTGATCGGCGTTGGGAACAATAGGAGTGTACTGCACTTCGCCAGATGGCACCGCAGCGTCGCCGAAGTACATAGTGCTCGTCTCAGAGCCAGCAGAGAGCCAGTCCACCAAACAGTAAGAGAATTTGTTTCCAAGTACCGATCCAAGTTGAGAAGGCATTGAGACAGGGCCTTGACCTAATCCCAGAATCCCTTCACCCCCCGTATCGCCGAAGGTACCTGTGTTGTAAACGCTGGCTCCAAACTCAAACAGATCGACCTGTGACATTAACATTCTCACACCATTCAAATTCAAGTTTGTAAGGAAAAAAACTCTAGTAGTTTCAAGAGCAGGTAGCAAATGTTTGTTGTACCTTGACTTCCTCGCCGGCAGTGTCTGTTGCGGTGATGGTTTCCTTGGAGAAGTACCCACGCGTGACTGATCCATCACCATAGCCATAGGCGTATATGCAATTTGCGGCCGCCGAGCAAGTCTGTGTTCCCAGGAGATCCGCGCATGCAGAGCTGGAGCATGCGATCTTGTTGTAAGTCGAAGATTTTGAAGGGTCGAAGATGGGATCTGCTTGTTCAAAACATGCTCTGCAAGGCTCGCTTTGTATCCATGTTAGGTCGCTGCCTGTGTCGATGATGACGACCGCTTTCTGTGGAGGTGTGCCCAAGTAGATTGGGACCAGGAACTCACCATATCCAGCAGATTCTGGAAACTCATAGGATTCGTTGTCCGTCTGACCAGGGAGTGTTTCCTGCATAACATTTAGTTGCTTGAATCCTTTGATAACTCAGCAGTGGTCTCTAGATCATGCATATGTCTTTGCACAATCAACACGAGCACAAATCAAACATTGTAACTCACATTGTGTCCAAGGCTGGGGAGTTGGTGCTCTGGTGGAAAGCCTACTCTGTCTTCCGTGACGCTTCTGATAAAATTTGTGCTCGACATTTTCTGATACAGGAACCGTTGCCTGCGAGAGCTCCTATCTAGCGCACAAGCGAAATGCAAGCTGCGAGATTCGGAGTCGAGCATTGGCATTTCGGCGCAGCTCGAAGGCCTCCGCATCATGTCGAAGCGAACACCGCGAGCGTTGCTTTTGCGGTGAGTGATTGTCTGTTCTGTACTGTGCTCCGCTGCCACAACATGACCGAGACCAAATCATATTCAGAAAAAACTTCGTACTCTGGAGTTCGTATATAACACTGAAACACCAAACATGCAGTGTGTACTAATGATGTTTTGTGTAAAACCAATGTGCCCTTTTCACGGCACTCATGGGCTGAGCTCTAAGGTCACCACTTGAACTATGGCGTACTGTTTGCTCTTCTCGTCTCTCACCTAGCTCATCCAGAATGGTATATATTTTTCAAGAGTTATGAGTGTCAGATCTGCCTTGGCAGAGATCATCTGCATTTCGCCAATAATCCAACTAGCTAAAAGGAATGCGTTATAACCATACGTTACAATGTCATGACAAAGGTGTAAATGAAGTTTCTGCAAACTCATGTTGTGCATGCGTCAAGTGAAGAGAATCATGTGCCTCATGATAAATCGGCTCTCTAACAAGCTAGTTATGCAGTTACCATGAGCCAGCTACTACACATTTCACTGTAGTTATGTTCACACAAATGTGTAAGCATGTGTGGTGTTTATATTCGAGTTTTGTGTCATGAATTCTGGTTCCAACCTGAATACGTTGCAACTGCCATTGTGCTTGGTTGAAATCCAATCAGAAGCCTGGATAAGATACTTCACCTCTCCAACATGGTAATTTTACTTCAGAGCAAATTTGATCTGCAATTCTACATAATATAATTTGTTGGTAAAGTTTGGCTTACTTGAAAACTCTGTCAGAACATCATCATGATTCTCAGCGGAGGTGTGGTATCGGCTATATGCAGCCACAACAGGTACTGCTTCGATAGCTGGAATCGGAAGTGCAGTGCTGGTACTCATCGCTATGAGAAGTAAGCAATTTATCAATGCCATTTGAAACAGGAATGTTGCCATCTATAGGAATCCGATATCTGAAATCAATTCCACCGAGGATTCCAAATGAACAAGATGAGGCACTAGATTGATATGTTTGAACCGATTTGCATACCTGGTTGTAGCATCCAATTTAATAAGCTTGGGGGGCAAAGCCAATCTTAAATGAAGAACTAATCGAAGGACCCCACCTTGAAGAGAGGAAGGAGCTGTATCATTATCATGGCAGCTTAAAGAATAAATTAGTGCGCGATGGATGCGTGACTGGAGTAGCGTCGAGTGCATCTCAAGGCAGCGCCGGAAGTATGCACAGAGTCGAAGCTTCAACATGGCCACTGGTACTTTCAAATCTAACAATTTGCTAGGCTGTTCTACACAAATTCGGCAGTAAAATTCATCCTGAAGGAAACGATCAGTTTCAATTCTTAACAATTAGGCTTGGATCGATTTGCAGGAATCCTCATTGGCGCCTGAGTTTTGGGTCTGCGATTGTAACGTGATCGAGCTCTGACGTCTCAAAAGGCCGCAGGGAGGCTATGGAAAGCCACACCACAATGTCAATGAGTGGAATTAATCATTGATCATTATTACTCTTTCCTCAATCTCAATTGCAAAACAACGACAGCTGTATAAGTGCATCAGCATGCATTTGCACGGTTTGTTTCCGTTTCTTTTGGAATACTTCGATGCAGGATTTTCCGTTTCCATTGTTTGATATATACACATCAATCCATACACACATAACATGATTTGATTGTACTGTAGACTATGTTTAAAATCACGTCAAGTGGGTTAAATCGCAGAGGCGTTACACCCGAACGCAAACCGTCGCCCACATGACAGCGCCCAGGACATGGACAAAAATGTGTCAGAAGTTAGAGTAATGCCTGATTGTATGAGTAGAGGACGAGTCTACGTCTAAAAGCCGAAGGGGTTCCACTGGAGTGCAAACGGCATGTCTTCAGTAGTCAACACGACATCAAATGTTGTCCAGAAACTTGTGCTCCCCTTGGAAGGTTTCTAATTTCTTTCAGCGTTATACCACGAACTTGTGGATATTTTCGTAACCCTTTACATGGATCAATAGCTTAATAACAGCTATGACCATTCATTATACAAAATTTATAAGCTAAACTTTCTTGAAATAAAGACAATGCCAGAAAGGAATAATCGCGAAGATCAAGTAAAAGAAGGGGCATCCTCCACATCGTGCAATGCTCTTAGCAATTTTACCTGCCATGCAAGGCAATTAAACCAGCTCTGAGCTAAAAGGCTAGCAACTGCAATCACAACGACCTCAAACACTAATTAAATTATTTATTTATTTTATTGGAATTCGAGACAGAAGCCACTAGCCTTAGATGTTAAATAAACCATCGGAATCTAAACAAAATTGTCTGCATTGACCATCTACAATGACTAAAATTTTCAATATAGAACTATCTGATATATTGAACAAAAAACTAAAATGAGAGAAACCACAATGAGAAGTCCAGGATACTGCTTCATACAACAAGGAAATCACGCCTATTAATCGTACCTCCGCTTTGCTGCGAAGATAAGGCAATAGATCGTCATCATCAATTTGTTTCGTACTTTCCATGGAGTGAACACCAAGAGCAGCCTTATAATATCCATCCTCCAGTTGTGTATGGTTAACCTTTAACATACAACGAAATATGTTCTTAGAAATGACACCGGAGAGAAACACACCTGAAATACCTTCATTTCAAGAAGTAATCATGTTCAGCATCTACATCGTTGTTCAATTTCACCGTATCGAGAGCATCAAAAATTAAGGAGAGGTTATTTTACAACAACGCCTGCTATAAAACTGAATGCAAAAATCTATCAATCGAAAACCGCAGGTACAGCCCAGCATCTAGGTTTGACTGCTCCACAAATTTACGCCCTGACGGATTTGTGCTGCCTCATGGTCAATGCGGCAACATTCTAAGCCTAGAAAATTAGGAGAGTGGCACTATGGAAAAATAAACTTACCCCACGTAAAAGAAGATACTCAATGACAAGATCCTCCCAGTCCAGCTCACTTTTTTTTTCTTGAGGTGGATCCACTCTACGTTTCTTTGCTCGGGAGCTATCAACACCCGTCGCATTCAAGGCGCTAGGAGACAGAGTTTGAAAAGGCTTGGAATGGGCGTTCCCCAGTCTAGACAATAGACCTCGCTTTGCCTTGAGAATACGCTCCATTGCAGCACGAATTTTATTGCAACGCCTGCAACCAGCTGACAGTAGTTCAGCTCAAAATTTGTCCGCAAGCAGCCAGAGTAGGAAATGTACAAGTAGATACCCACAATGTGGTGCTGTTGAAATCATGTTTTCAACAATTTAGGATGCCAATATTTATACGTCTTAACATAGTAGGGCTGAGCAACTGAGTCCGTAAAGCACAACGTCAATACCTGCTATGGGCGCCTTCACTAGCAAGAAACGATTTCGGCCAAGCTTGCCAATCGACCTCCTTCCGCTTTAGTGCTTGCACTAATTTCAACTCGACGCTCCTACTATCCACTAAAAACCGTCTTCCTGACGTGCTTGTCCCCTCCTCAGATTTGTCCCAAGCTGAAACTGATTTCTGTGAATTCAAATCGTGTGACTCCACATCCTGTCTTGTGCAAGAAGGTCCTAACTCCACAGAACTCGTGCTGGATATCTTGGAGGGGGGCATCTGCGGATTACTTCCTTTCCTCTTTTTGGCTCGCTTCATGTCCGTCTCTAAGAACTGTTTTCAGAACCACATCCAACAATCAAGTTATTGGGTCCACCTCGTAGGAACTGGAATACAAAACATACTAACAATGCCAGGTAAAGCCTTCAAAGATACAAGATACACATGAATTAACCTGCAAGGCGAAGCATGGACTTTATACCAGATGCTATGTCATCACCATGCATTGAAATGAATTAAAAGTTCCTTCACGAACCATAACAAGTTCAGACAGGAAGAGATGATGACAGTAAAACCGAGAGAGTATACAAGATTAAAATGAACAACCATTGAAAGAGGTCGAGTGCTAAGTATGATGTTCGATGATGCATCAACAGAAATAAATACCTGGAGCAGGAATGGCAAATGCTTATCCAGTGTCTTGAGAGTGATGTCCTTTCCCCACGGCAATTTTTGGCCCACGCCCACAAGTGCTTCCTACCATCATTAACATTTCAAATTACAACCAAGGAGCCTAGAAAAAATAATAAATCAACTATGAAGTCCTGAAAGCAGATCTTACATGTTGCAAAACATCTGAGTAGTTCCTACTAAAATCACAATAGCCACGTACCTTCAGCTCGGTAAGCCGCATTCTACTAGTTCGTGGATGACTATAGACTTCCCGCACCACATCGTCGAGATTCAGCTTGATCTAATCAAGGTCATCAACAAGTCTCATTGAGATCGCGTGGTCGTTTGGTTGGACTTAAAAACACAGAAGACAAGCTGTAACAGAAAACTAAAAGACACAATTATCTACCTATTTATCAATTCTCTCTCTCTCTCTCTCTATATATATATATATATATATATATATATAGAGAGAGAGAGAGAGAGAGAGAGAGAGAGAGAGAGAGAGAGAGAGCATAAAAGAAAATAATACAGCACACAAGTACCTGATTGGCATCTGCCACCAGTGTTATTACGGCTGCCACAACCTGCACCAAATCCCTGAACTGTCATGAACACTAAACCATGCATGAAGTCGTCTGAACATGCATGGAATACAATGCATGAAAACAATTATTGCCATAATGCCCTGTTTTGAAATACAATTTCCCAGCTAACAACAAACTGTCCATCATATATCTAGAGCAACAGCCAAAAAGAGGAGCTTAAACTCACTGGCAGTGGACGCCTTCCAGTTGTAATAAACCACTGTTGTGAGCATTCCAGAAGAAGACCACCTTGCTTTGACATCTTTCGAATAAAATCACGTTCTATACCCTGCACATTAAAACTCGTACTGCAACTTAGTAATTTCATAAACTCAACACTTCATGATGAAATGAAGGACTAACATCAAAATCCTCCACTTCATGTCCAGCTGACAAGCTACTATAATTCATTACGCGGCAACTTCTCGAACCGTCTTAAGTACGCAAGGTTGGAAATTGAAGTTCAAGATTAATGCAACCGAAAAACTAAACAATACTTTTTAATAAGTATCATGAGTAAATTTAAAAACTTCCGGAACGTGCCCAAGAAAGAAATCATAATAGAGAAAAAAATTAAATTAAATTAAATTAAATGAGCCCACTTGAACTTAAGCCGAGATAGACATTGTCAAAGAATCAATACCTTTGTCTTAGCAAGTGAGGCAATGGCACGCTCCAGAAAAACCACTGGGTCTGTCTCAGGCTACGCACATGCGGGACATGGCTCAGATGGACAAACTTTGAAGACGTCACATACAAAAACCACAAGTTCCTAGATAGCCCAGAGGTTGGACGACGCATTCCAGAAATGAATCCCTCAGAATATACAGTGGAGGCTACACGTTTCAAAGAGCCGGATAAAGGCACAGGAACCAGTAAATCTCCTAAATGAAAACCAAACATACGGAAAAAATTTCAATGTTGATGCCATAGCATAAAAAATAGACAACGACGATCTGAAACAAAGAAAACACGATACAACTGGCTTACCAATTCCAGTTCAAGAGAATCAAGCACACGTCGGTACATACGCCCCAACTCCACAATGCCGCAATCGACTGAGGACTGTCAAAACACGGCCGTGATTTTTCTCCATAAGGGTCGTTGTTGTCAGCGATACATCAAGCTCGGAAAAACTCGAAGATGGTAGAAACTAAGTGTGCTGAAGAAGTGTTGATACGTCAAGAAAAATAAACAAAAGGAACCAACAAAATGATGCGGACATCTCAAACATGCTGAATACGTGACTCGATTAACGCCAAATGATATTATCAAAAATATGGCATCGCCACAACATCCATGAAGAGATCATTCTTAACTCGAAACTTACCGCGACTTCAACAAGTGTGAGAGGAAGGCGGCTCTGACGAATCGCCACGTAAATACAAGCGCCTACCAAGACTTCTATCCACCGGCCTTGTCCCCACTCTCCATCCAACAATCGTTCCAACATGAATTTTACATCTTCTACTCTTTCATGAGGTACCCGCAAAACTGCAGTAATCTCCTTCATCTTCTTCATGACCTCTCTCTGAAAATCAGAAAGAAAAGTGATATCAGCTTCTAAAGGATTTCTGCCTTCGTGTGTCACAAATTGCTTGAGGAGGAATTTCAATCACATCCACTAGAACGATCAACAAACCGAGAAGAAATTAGAGAAACCAAATAAATGTCTCACTAAAACACTCAAAGGAATGATAAGAAACACACCCTGTTCATCTCATCCCGATTGGCAGAAGAATGAAGCAGCGGTCCTGCCAACCCACACGCTGCCAGGGATCCATCCTCACCAGGCTTAACATAAGTACCCCCTCGCTCCAAGACGTGCCCTGCCTGATGGTGAGACCCCAAATACGTCTCCACGTCGTCGAAAACTCGGCCACAGTTGTCGCAGGCTAGGATGCCGTAAACAGAGTCCATCGTAACTGTCCCCAGGCCACATGCTTCACAGGTGTCCGCGGCCATGGCTGTAACACTTCCGATAGAAGAAACAAACGTCGAAGGAATTCCTAAACCTCGAAGCCTCGCGGAATCCGCACGATTGTACGAAAGTACCTAAAGTGACCATGCACCAAATCGGTTGATGCCCAACTCGATGTAGAGTTTGGTAATGATCGTCCCGGGAAGCGGAATTGCGATTGGGATAGCGCTGTTGTGTAGGCTTCAGAATTGTAATGAAGAACCCTGTTGAAAACAACTTATAAAGGTTAAGCCATCAAAAGTAAGAGATATCGTTGCAAGAACCATTAATTGTGAAAACGAAACATGAACGCCACCAAATATGAGATCACTAAAAAATAGACACCATTGATGTATTGCTCTAATTTCTATATAAAATAAGCACACTGGTGCCACAATCCTGGAGAATGCTACCGAAAGTTCAATTTTAAATTGTAAAAGCTAGTAATAACCCCACAGCAAGCCAAAATCCCAATGCGACAACAAAAACACTCATGTCGAACGACAATCTCCACAGATGCAATTCACCACCACACAACAATTCAACCGCTCGTGGAGCTGTAATCGAGCACAACAAGCCAAAAAACTCTATCCACTCCATCATACTCGCCCTGCAACCAGATTCCCCACACCTGGCACTAGCAATCGTGTCTAACAACCATTCAACAATACACGGAAACAGATCTAAACTCTAGACTCCAAGCATGAAACAACCACAAGAAAAGTGGAATAAATGAACTAATCAACACCAACCTTCTATTGCTTCTGCCTCTGGAACTCCGCGTCGCTGCTCTGCGGCACCACCGCTGCCCTTTGCCCTTAAACTTGATCATTCTACAAAATTCATGCTTCCAAACACTCCGAAACGAAAAATAGAAACAAACTCTTTGGAAACCCTAAGCGAAACCGTAGAGCAACTGAAGCAAACTAACACACATGCGAAAACTTTCGAAGCATGTTCCGTGATTCACAATTCAGCAGACGTCGCGAGCCTGGAAAAACAGGACAGGCGACTACTAGAATTCAAATTCGAGCTGCAAATCCAAAGCGTCACTGTATAAATAGCTTCGCAGCCAGTTCCCGAGCTTCCCGCAAACATCACCAACCCTAACTCCACGCCGGTGCTAGTCCACTACCCGGTTGATGTGTGGTGGGCCTTCGGTTGAAAGTTCGAATCCCGTTGCCAACGGCGTTGCGAAGCTACACATGAACTGGATTATGGTGCTTAGGGTGAAGTGGATTGATGAGAGAACAAATGCGCTTCTTTGTATGCCTTCTTGTTACGGAGATATTTGTTAAGTTTTGCTCAACATGGGTTGTAATGTTGAAATTTGGTGTAAGAATTATAGATTCTTTTATAAAGTGGAAAAAGTTCAGGAAATACAAACTAAATGTTGTAAATTTCTTAGGAGAGCATGTTTTTAGTAATACTTGAGTTCCATGAATTGTAATTCTTACTTATTTTTTAATGTTTAGAAACAAATCCTTCACCCAAAAAAAAAAAAAAAAAAAAAAAAAAGAAAGAAGGTAGAGTTAGATTCAATTTTGAGTTGCTACTAACTAATATTCTTTATTTGGTTTCTTAGTCTATTATATATATATATATATATATATATATATACATATAATTAAAAATCATGTAACACTTCTCTCATCACCCTACCTCCTATTAGCAAGCACACAAAAAAAATTCAAACTCCATCCAAATAAACAGTAGTAATAATAATAATGATAATTTGTCTAACCCAAGAAAGTTACAATTTTTCTTGGATAAAACACTAATTTTAGAAAAAAAACTCTACTCTATTCATAGTTAAGGGAGAGTTCTATAGTAGCCATTTGTTAGGGATAATTAACATTTGTATCTTACAATTAATCAAATTCATTAAAGCATAATGTTTCTCACATCTACTTGTATGTTTTTACAAATTGAGATGTATATACTTTGTCTAAGAATTGTAATATTAAAGATATGTTTTGAACATAGTTTTTGAGTGTTGTTAATGTCACCTCAAACTGCCCTAAACTTGTGTTGCACACCGCAATGCACTTTATGGAATAATAAAATACACATTTCATAGAAAATGTGCATTAGCAATGTTCTATACAAATACAATAAAAATTTAGATTAACCTGTAGTGGCATTAGCAAAAAAATATGATTACATGTGATGGATGACAAGTTGTGGTAGCATTAGCAATACCCTAGATTTTTTGCCAAATAATTATCTATATCTAATCTTGCATAAACACTTTTAAAAAATAAGAACAACTTTACAAAAAAAACAAAACAAATCTCACACATCCCACACCTGGATATAAAACTTGGGGTGCTCACAATTTGCTGGTTACTCCTGTCGCATTAATCCCCATTAATTGATCACGGATTATGTACACCTTGAGCGAATGGGGTTAAATAAATGTTGGAAGATGGTGGAACACCGCGGATGCCGCGGATTCACCCTATCACCACGAAACTTTAAAGTAGTGCAGGCGGCTTTTGGTTCGAAATTCGTTCGGTAAACACGCCGCACCCCGTGCGTTCAAATTCGATCTTCAGATAGAGTAGATTGTGAGCCCAGGTCAGGTTTCGATTTGAGGCTCTCTTTGTTTATCGCCATCTGTGGCGAGTCGGAGCCGTCGTCGATTTTTATAAAACAGGAATGTAGATTTCATGAAATGTAAGCGTAGCCTGCAAATTTGAACGCATTGTGCTGTCAGTTTTAGGGTTGTGAGGTTGTGTCAAGGGAATGCGGTGCAGTTTTGGATCGTTCTTCTTTATTGCGCTTGGTAAATTGTTTCTCTGTTTCTTTCCTGGGTCGTCGTGGTTGAGTCTGGTTTTCGGATTTCAAAGAATGCAGTCATAGTGCAATTCGAAGCTGGAAGCGTGTAGAGCGTTGTGGTATTTGGATATGGTGTGAAGGTTTTGTGGTGGAGTTGTCCTGCGTCGTCATCCCGGAGTAGCTATTGCTAGTCGAGCCAATTTATTGTTTTGAGGTTTCATAGCTCAATTTTACTTCTTGAGGGTTAGAATTGTAGAGCTTGACAATGTTAGTGTTGGCCAAGTTACTCTTTTTGCAATTGCAACCTTGTGGACGACTGTGAATGAGTCGAATCGCACCATCATGATCACGTGTAGGGTTTGGGTTGGTTTGGGGCCGGTGAGCCCTTCTTTGATTCTTCTGCCCTCGAAGAGTAACGGAGAATGCGTCCTAAGTGCAAGAAAAGCTGATTGGGGATTACTGAGCCAAGTGCAATGCCAACGCTTTCGATGTCTATCTTCAGAATATAAGGGTCATAATCTTAAACTTAGAAGACGTAGCCGTGTCTCAGCTTCCAACAGAGAAAACGGTAGTTTAAATGGGCGTTTCCAGGAATCACTGAGTCAAGAGAATGGGTATCCGGCACCAACTGAAGGGACTGATCCTCACACTTTCTCCACGGCGATGGACTCCTTAGCTATTAAAGCAGAGGAAGCTTACAATGACGTACAGGATTCTTTTGCCAAGAGTAGTAAACAACGGAGCTTATCTGGCTGCGCTTCTATCAAAGTGTTCGGTGTCGGGGGTGGTGGATGCAATGCGGTAGACGAAATGGTGAGGTCAGAACTATTGAATGTTGAGTTCTGGGCCGTCAATACTGACAAACAAGCATTGAACAAGTCGCTGGCTCCCAATAAAATTCAAATTGGACAGGACACGACAGCCGGCCGCGGTGCAGGTCGGAGCTTCTCATCTTATGGTTGATTAGGTTATGTTAGGTCTTTGATTTTCATAAAGCAGGTTGAAAAACTGCCTGAGTGAAGATGGATACGAACCACGGTGTTTTATGCCTTCATGTGTGAGGAACCAACATGATTCGTCATAAGCTGTTCGTTGCTTCTTTCTTGATTTTCTCGATTATTGTTGCTTATTAACGAATATTTTCGGAAATTGACGAGATTCAGGTGGAAGAAGTGCAACCGGTGAGGAAGCAGCTACAGAGTCATTGGCGGAGCTTTCGATGGCACTTGAAGGTGCCGATTTAGTCTTCATCGCCTCCGGTATGGGTGGCGGTACTGGTTCAGGAGCAGGTGTGTGCACTTTCTGATTTCGTCTAAAATATCAGGCGTTTATCGAGGATGCGGTTGCTGTCATCGATCAATACCTCATGCCGCCATGTCTGAGTCCGTTCTGACGAACATTCATGACGGACCTCCGTAATTCTACTTGGAGTTTGTGAGCGAAACAGAGGGTTAATTTTGCTGCAATCCTGAAGATGGTGAATTGAAGTGTACGCTGTTTTGATTTCCAGCTCCTGTGGTGGCTCGGTTGGCGAAGGCTATGGGAGCGTTAACGATTGGCATAGTAACTGAACCTTTCACATTTGAAGGGTTCACCCGAGCTCGACAAGCTAGGAAAGCCATTGAGGACATGCGCCATGCGGCTGACACTGTGGTTGTAGTTCCAAATGATCGGTTGCTCCAGACTGTAGCACCTGACACATCTATGCTGGAGGCTTTCCATCTTGCAGATGACGTCTTGCGGCAGGTACATTATCTGATTGTCACGATCTCATCATGCACTTCGCAGAAAAATTTCATAAAATAATACTTAACATGTACTTACTTGCTGGAGCTCTGATGTCGCTAACATCTTCAACAGTCAGTTAGCAACACCATTACCTTTTTTGCTGTGTTCGGTTCAAAGGGTTCACTGTGTCATTTCATTTTCTACTCTTGGGCCAACAGGGAGTGCAAGGAATTTCAGACATCATCACGATACCCGGGCTAGTCAACGTCGACTTTGCGGATGTGAAAGCTATCATGTCAAATGCAGGGAGTGCAATGTTGGGAATCGGCGCTGGTTTTGGGAAGAACCGTGCTGAGGAGGTGGCACGGTCAGCCATCATGTCTCCTCTACTCCGCTCCGTCTCGAGACCCATGGGTATTGTGTACAATGTGACAGGTGGGAGCGACCTAACTCTTCACGAGGTCAACATCGCTGCCGAAATTGTTCATGACATGGCTGATCCAAACGCAAATGTTATCTTTGGGGCGGTCATTGATGAGAGCTTTAAGGGGATGATACGTATGACTGTCATTGCAACTGGATTTAGAGAGCCTGGAGAGGAGAAGGTCGTTGGTAGTGTTCGAACTGTAGACGATGATATATTCTACTGGGAACAGAATAAGAATAGGTCCGACCTTGGCAAAGTGCCGGACGTTTTGCGAAGAAAAGATCGAAGGCGTGGCAGTGGCAGGTAACTGCCGGGTTTACTCTTTATGCGTATGGGATTTAAAGAGAAGCCGCTGAGCCTGAGATTCTACAGGAGGTTTGTGGAGTTGTTGTGATCAAGCACCATCTTTCAATAGAATGAAGATCATGGTTTTAAAAACAGTGAGCATTTCTCAATCGATACTCTGAAAGCCTGTACTCAAAGCTGGAGCTGCGAAAACAGTGTACGAAGGGCACTGATTTGATGACACAGCATCTTTGTGAATAGAACCAGGAATTGAATTTGAGGAACATGGGGTTCTTTATTTTTTAAGGGTTTGTGAAATGTCTAACTGTAAAGCGTTGTGCGCTTCATTTCTCACTTAACAAGTACCTCTAGCATTTCTGGTGGTACATAGCCTTCAGTTGGAGGGAATCGCTGGACGACAACAAAGGTGATTCGACAGTGTAATTGTTTAGGAATGTTTTACATTGAGACAAGGTGGGAGGCCACAATTTTTAAATGTTTTGATTTGTTGGGATTGATAAGTTTTCTTGAGTTGATTTCATATTTGAAAAAACAAGTCCGAAGGTTTTAAGAGAAAACGATGAGATAGAATAATATTTTTTCTATATGACAAAGGTAATGTTGTCTCCCAAAAACTTTATTGGGTTTATTTCAAAGCGGTGGTTTTTAGAGAAATTTGAGAAGTTGCATTAAATATCCTTAAAACAACCATTAAACTAGCAAGAAATCTCATAGTTATTTGAATCATAGCATAGGTTGATGCATTTAGACTTGTAATAATAATAAAACTTGTCCATTTCATGGCATGTTTCTACTGTATACTAAAAAATCCTATCATTAAGAATTTAAATACTATATTGAATTCAATCCTATGTATATCCAAAAAATATGAAATATACATTTAATACATGCACATGTACATGGATTTTTTTCACAACTTTTTATTATTGAGCTTTTAGTTATGGTAGACTCAATTGAAAGGTCAAAATAACTTAAGGAGCTAAAGAATTTAAATGTATTTGTTTTCTAAAACAAAATGCAAAGTAATTAGAACTTTGAGGGTTTGGTGAATGGTACAAGTTGCATAGGCTCCCAAGAGAAAATCTAATCTAAGAAAAGAGAGTTGAGTTTATGAAATTTGGAGCTTGTCATGGTCTATGTTTTTAAAACTTATGAAAAAAAATTTAAGGATTTATTAATCAAGCTCAATCAATCTAATAAAAATAAATAAAAATAAAATGGTCAAAGATACTTAATATAGTTCAAAAATCAATATATTTTATAGTAAAAAAATTACAAATCAATGCAATTAAGTGTGAATGTTGGATTTGAACTTGTTATCTTATTGTTAATATTAACTTTGTGTGATTTATATAAAATATTTAATATATTTATATTTTATAAATAATATATTTTGCAAGTTTTGAAATTTTTTTAGAATGGTAAAATATAAAAATATTTGAATGTCAACCATTTTTCTTACAGGAATATTGATTGTAGCAAGATGTGAAATGAAAGATAAATATTTTGAATATTTTGAATATTTTGAAGCTAAATATTTTGAAATTTTCACAAAATAATAATAAAAATAAAAATAATGCTTTTATTTGGAAGTAATTTGCTACCTATATATATATATATATATATATATATGAAATAAAAAGATATAAAATTATATATCATTCATAACATCAAACATGTAAGAATTATACAATCCTTAAACACCTAGACTACAACAAATATATACATATATACATACAAGGTCTATCTTATGCATAATGTACAAAGTCCTAACATAGCAAAACAATAAATAAAAATAACATTATTCAAAATAATTTGTGATACATTCTTAAAGTTTAAATAGCTATCTCACTTCCATGGCAACACTTCATCTTGTCAAAACCTCCTTGCTGTACTCTTGCAACAACTTCTAGTTCCATTGCACCTCTAGTTATCACACAAGTCCTTTTCTCACCACATACTTCACTAAAGAAAGTTGGGACTTTAGACCTAAGACCTATTGTATTTGAGACTTAGTCTAACTCCTAACTTAATGCAAATAATTGTCTATTGTATTATATGATATATATCTATAAACAAAAGCCTCATCATTTCTAATTGTTGAAAATGTCTAAATGAATTTGATGTAGTTTGTAGCAATAATAATAAAAACAATAAAAGTACTTTGATAATTTGCATCATTTCAGTACTCACAAAGTATATTTCTAACAATTTAGAAAAACAAAATTAGCATGTCACGTATAGAAAAAAAATTAGTTTTAATTAACACAGAGATATAATTTTATAATAACTAAAATTTTCCTCAGAGTCAAGTTATTGTACACCATGTATTCTAGATTTTTCAAAATCATACACAAACAATAGTTAACTTGGAAGTAGATAGATCATGTATAAAAATAAAAAATAATACAGTAAAACTGGAAGTATGAAGACTACTGTTTCTCTATTTCGTGTAGATGATTCAATTCAACAAGAGCAAATTAATCATAAAAATATTGGCCTTGGATTTTCATAGACAGATAAAAATGGAGCATGCTAAAGTTACTTGTAATTTTTTCTCAGATACTACTTTTTTTAGATTGTAAAAACCAAGTTGAAATTAATAATAATTAAAACATAAATAAGATGAAACAGATGCATCTGAAGTTTTAAGTAATAATCTTTGAATATAAATGATTAGAGAAAACAATAAAAAAAATCAAGGAACAAAAGAAGTAAAACTACAAAATACTGAGCACATGTTGTTTATGTTGAAAACATTTATGTACGTATGTTTGTATAAATTTATCTATATTTTATGGTGTACTTTCCTAATAGTTTACCATTGTGAGCATAACATAGTGAACAGTCAGATGATAAAAATAGCTGCACTTGTGCATGAACTTATTCAAACAAACTTGAATATAAAGGATCAGACTTGCAGTTTGTGGGACTAGTTTCTTCAGAGATTTTCCTCCCTCCTTAATATCAGCAACCACATGAACACCAAATATAAAATTATAAAAAAAACATATATTTACTGATTCAGGTTGTGCAATCGTACAACATAAATCATACTTAAGTGTGTTAAAACATTTGTATAATATTTTTAGTTTCTTCTTCTGTCTTAACAGAAGAAGATCACTTCATAATTTATAATTCTCCCGATTATAAGTTATTGAAAACAGGTGTAGAAACATTACGCTAAAAATAACAATAACCTCATGGATGAATGTCGCCTACTTATGGGACATCCATCCATGCGACTCCCCATGTAATCATCCATCCATGAACCACTGTCCGCTCGCACCCCCCTCCTCAAGCCTGGGCTTGGGTGTTGCGGTGCGGTGTCGGTACAGTGTAAATCCTCATGGGCGATGAATTTCCGTTCCCAACGAACTATCTATCCTCGAACAAAAGGGGTGGAAATATTTCGCCCATCTCTGACCTCTTGAGAGCAGGTCCATGCAAACCCGCGTCGATATCCCACATCCTGGCAGACCGCGTTGGAGGCAAATGCTGTATCCACCGTAACGTTTTCCCCAAAGCAACAGCCAAGCTTACACTACAACGCCGAATGACACGGTCGATGGCTTCGAACAGGTCCGCCGCACATCGGTTACTGCTCGCAACCACTCCCAGTAACCAACCTTCGTAGTAGTGAGGGACGTGCTCAGTCGTCATGGCCACACCTACATGAAATCCACGTTCCCGATCAGCAAGTCCACGAGGTCTGGTCTGCCTCAGAAGCACACGAAATTGAGTTCAAGCGATATAGTGATGAGCTCTTCAAACGCGTGTCCATCGACCCTGCCAATCAAAACTTGTGTGTGGCTCAACCATGGCCATCAAACTCTGTGGTGTTCGCACAAATCAAAAGACGACATTCACAGTGTGAAAAGTGTAAAGCACCGTCGAATGATGCAACCTACAGATTCGGTACACCCCTCACGACTCACTCGTATCAACGAAGCTCCAACCGATCAGTCAGTTCAGCGAGCAAGCGGCAGACGAGTTCCACAGGAGACACAGCATCCAGCGGCACGAGATCTCGTCGCCGTTCAGACAGTCATCGATCGTCAGCTGCAAACTCTAGTACCAGCGAGGACACTTGCAAGCAACACATAATCTGGTCACCTCACAATTCACTCACCGACTGAAAAGATGCAAAGCTCATGAAGTAACCTCGCCTTATTCACGATCAGAGCAGCGCCACCAGAGTCGAAGACACCTCGGAGATGAAGAGACCTTGGAATGCAAGCACCCGAAGAGTGCAAATATAATGATGGCAAGGATTGCTGCTGCGAGGTTATACAATAGGTTTTGATATTCAAATGCTTTTGTAGAAGTTTGATTGTTCAATGGCTTATTTGAATTGGAGATTGATCACTTAGATTGGAGATTAAGTTGATGTTGTCAAGAATTTGAATAATGTGAGTTTTATATTCTTTTGATATCTAAGGTTTAAGTATAGATTTTTAGGCCTATATCTACAATTCTTTTTGTAGAAAGCCAATAAATTAAAGCAAAATTATTTGATGGTGAGATTAGTAACTTTTTATTTATTTTTAATTATAAATTTAGATTTTTTTATTATTTCTTAATATTCTATGTGAGTTTGTACTAAAAGCATCATTTTCTACATGAAGAAAGTAATATAGTAGCAAATTTATGGTTTGAATATTCTAGAATTGCTTCTATTTGAAAGAAGTGTTCTATTATAAAATAAATATGCCAATTAATTTGGAATACTATTAAAAATATTATTTTAATTTTTAATTTTAATTATATTTTAAATATTAAATTTAAATGTTAAATCTTTTGAATAATATTTTTATTAATTTCATTATTAATTTTGATTTTGATTTTGATTTTAATGTTAAATTTTTTGAGTGAATAATATTACATTATTTAAATTATTTATTTTTTTGATTCATTATATTTTTATTTTTTAATGTGTAATTATTTTAATATATACTTAGAATCTTAAGCATTATAAAGTTGATTATAATCCAAAGTATATGCTATCATAGGTTGATATCAACAGTATGGTAGGAATAAGTAATGAATTGCTAAGTCAAAGTGAGTTATTAGAAATTAACTCCAATACTTGTAAATATGATCAATATAATAGCACAAGTGAGTCAAACTCTCATATTAAGATTCAAGTTGACAATATTGAAGCTTTTGAAATTCAACATTCACAAATTAGAAGAATTTTTAGAGGAGACAAAGTTTCCAGAAGAAGCCAAGGCAATGTGATTAGAGGAGGGACGAAGAAAAAACCATTAAGAAAGGAAGCTGGACAATTCAAGTGGAATTGTAGATATGATGAAGATGAGGATAGAAAGTGGGGTGTTGCTCTTCAACAACCTCAACAATGTTGTATAATGTGAATTTTTGCTTAAGAATGTACTGGGCATCTAGTTATGGAAGGTAAATAAAAAATGCAACAACAAGATCCTGCTAAGTGTAATAGAATCTTAATTAAATTCT